TCTATCCAGGTTTTTAATTCTATTTTACTCAATTAAGTCTCTATAAGAGGTAAGATAGAGCCGAATAGTCTTCTTGGCCTAGTGCCAACGTGAGACGTTTAGAGGAATGAGACCCAGCTTTGATGATGTCCGTCGAATGATGGACAAAAGCTCAGCCCGTTTTCATCCGAAACGAGGGAAGAAGTCTCGTGGACTGCGTCAACAAGAAGGTCGTATAAAAGCCAAACGAGATTCCTCCATCCTCATCTGGTGAGATCGACTAACGAATCTCTTCTTCGTGCACTTTCATGCGAAATGAAGATCCCCCTAATAAACAAAATAGGATGAACACAGTTTTTTTATTCATGATCCAGTGGTGGTCTCAACATCCTACTTTAAACATGAGACTAAGTAGTCTAGTCGGTTATACTAGCAAATACAACTTGACTTCATCGACGACCCTACCAAAGTAATGCGGTATGGGAAAAGACGGATCTTCCTTGAAATGTACAAAAGGCACCCGCCGCAGTCTGACCTAGTCCCGGTTAGAGTCCCGCTTGTGGTGCTGATGAGATGAGTTCAGTCGAAATTGAAATCGCAGTTCAATCTGGCCGGGATGAAGATACCTTTTAGGAAAGAGAGGCTATGTGAAATGCAATCATCAGATTGTGAAAAAAGTAAATTATCAGCACTTCATCACCTTAAAGAAGGTTAATGGACGCAGTTTTTATTCAAGCTCGAAACACTACTTAAAAAACGAAAAAAAGTTTACCTGATTGCCTAATGGAGGCTTTTTGGGTGGATGAATAAATGGATGGAGACTAAGAGATGAATGGATAGACTGAAGCTGACCGGACAGACTTTCGAATCAATGGAACGGTGGATGTTAAAAGGGAGAAATGGATGAGTAAGTAAAGGCATGAAAAGAGGGACAGATGACTATACGAATGAATCGGTAAAATGGTATGGCTGGATCACGAAGTGTATAGCTAGACTGATGAGTAAATGGATGGCACAATGTATGGAGATGTATTAACCCAATTTCGTGTAAAGGCGATGAAGGACTGGTAGTTGAATTTTCCCACAATCTGATGAATAAATCTTACATTAGCATTGAATTTCACATAGCTTCATCATCATACATTGAAATAAGGTGAATATATCTCATGTAACTGATTTGCTGGCAGTCTCAATAAACTACTTATGAAGGAAAAATAAGTAGTCGTCGATTGTCTTGGAAAATATAACTTTGCTTCGACGACAATCCCACCAAAGAATGTGATATGGTAAAATGCCTGGCCTTTGTTGAAATGCATACGTGAGCTCTGACCCAAAGGCATTCATGCCAATGTAGCGTAATGGTTAGGACATCGAGATTACACGCTGCATTGTCATAGTCCGAGTCCCGTGGGGATGTTGATATGAGTTCGAAATTGCAGTCAATTCATGCTTGGATGGGAATACCTTTTGGGAAAGCAGGGCTATGTGAAATTCAATTGAAACCTAAGATCTACTAATATGATTGTGGTAAAATTTAAATACTTTAATTGAATAGGGTGAATACACTCCATATATAAATGATCTGGTGGTAGTCTCGAAAACCTACTTATAAACGAATACGTATTTATCTGAAAGGATGATTGGGCTCTTGGATGGGCAGTTGGATGGCTGGTTGGAGGGGTGGCTATGTTGTTGCATGCACGGATGGATGAATGTGTGAATAAATCATTGAAAACATATTGCCGAGTAAATAAATGGCTATAGAAACTGATGCGGTAATGCAATCATAGTTTTGCCTGTACAGATGTGGGCGCTAAATGAGTGACTAAAAACATGAATAAGTGGATGTATAGACGAAAATCGTGATTTATGAATAAATGAACATCTTGATGGATGTATAGACGAACAGCTTGATAGATTAATAGACGAAAAGTTTGATGAATGTATAGATGAACATCTTGTTGGATGTATAGACGAACATCTTTATGGGTGAATAGACGAACAGCTTGATGGATGAATAGATGAATATCTTGATGGGTGAATAGACGAAAACTTTGATGAATGTATAGATGAACATCTTGTTGGATGTATAGACGAACATCTTGATGGATGAAAAGATAAACATCCTTATGGGTGAATAAACGAACATCTTGATGAATGGATAGACCAATATCTTGTTGGATGGGTGGGCCGATTAGTCGAGAATGCTCGCAAACTGGGCTGGATCGAGGATGAAAAGATGTGAGCTTAAGTTAGGAGGCTTAACGCATAAACAAGTGTCCCTATGACTGGGCAAAAGGTCTAATGATCGGACAAGGGGGGTAGAGACGGAAGAGATCATAAATGGCTTCTTGGCGGTTTGAGTAGTCATGTTGTGTCGTCTGACGACGACGAATTAGTCGAAATATGTTAATCAATTAGTGTGATGAGAAAATGTACAATTGTCGTATGTACATGTGGGGATTGTCTCGAGGTGGTATGTGAAATGGCTGGCAGAGCAGAAGGGGGCTGCTGTCTCGTTGTTGGTGTGACCTTTTGTCGTTAAGGTGGCATCTCACGTTGCCTGGAAGGTGTAGCCTTGAGAGGAAACGGTTTTCGGTATGGGATGAAGGTGAGCTCCCCTACGCCCATTGGCGGAGTGGACCAGCCCGGATGGGCCATTTGTTGGGGCCGATTCGCTTGTTCGAGCCCCGCCTGCCGGCCACCCCGGCCGACCCCGACCAGGACGGAAATAGCACCCGATTCGGCTTGCCTTAAGCCTCCGAAAGATGAGTGTGAATGGCCCGAAACGAGGGATCAGCCAGACAGGTTTTGCCGATGGGACGTGGCAGGGCAAGAGTGAGGCAGGATCAGTTGACTTCTGACCTCAACTCGTCCGCCAGTCAATCTGTCGCTCCGACCGGTTTAACCTAATGACCTCCGAACAAAACAGCGCCTGTTTACGACACGCTTGCATCACCGGTCCCGTCAGAGCTAAAAGGAGAGCTGGCCCACGACACATTTACACATACATGCAAGCACAATTGCATATATATATAT